TTGCAGAGACAGATGGGGATCTGCTTGACGGCCGTCACACGCAGCCTTTGAGGTTCTGGAACAGTTATCATATGTTTTGCGACCGTAATTGGATACGCACCTGCGACCACGGCCAGACGCAGGTGGGTTTTTGGCGGGTTTGCACCAATTTGACCAGGGGCTGCCTGGCTTGAGGCGGGCAGTAGCAAACCATTGAACACCCGGAGGTGTCCTCCCACCGTCAGAGACAATGCGTGGTACTCGTGCTCTACGCCAATCGAGCATTGAGAATATAACCCGTAACCTGTTGTCTCCCATGGCTAGGTTTTACGGGAAGTGGGCCATCGACCACTTCCTAACCTCCGGAGAGGATGGACTAGGATACTGCCAGGGCGCCCACACCTGACAGGAGAACGACTCGGGTCCTCAGCCAAAGCCTTCGATTAAATGAACACCCGAAAGGCAGCGGGTCTAGCACATGGTCAGTTAGCTGACTCATGCGGATTGGTGTCCTGGATCTTAGCAGGGAGAAGGGCGAAACCTAACTCCCACCCAGCGGTCGCCACGTGGAGGCGCCCAGGACATGAGACTATGGCGCAACAGTAGCAGCAGTGGGTAGACCATCTGTCAGGATCTAGCCACCACCAGCCTCAGCGCACCATAGGCTCTCCCGCCACACCGGAGTATACCTACATACATACATACATGTGGCATTGCAGAGCGATCTCGACCGGGCTTATGCGTGGTCACCCGATAACTTGCTCCAGTTCAACGTGGCGAAGTGCAAGTCATATGCTATTACCTTACGCATGAATATCGTGTTTCCCAGGAAATCGACCTCGGGGCGATCGTGCGGGGCAACTTTGGCTGCTCTAGACAAGCTGGAAAGACATCAAAAAGAGCCAAGCAACACTTTGGACTCTTACGGAGGGCTTTCGGAAATGTTAAGCCATCACTGTCTCCGCAAATGCTGAACACCAAGGTGAGGCCGCACGTGGAATATGTGATCTAGGTCTGGCATCCCTGGCGCAAGCGCGACTTTAATGTACTTGAAGCCCCACAATGTAGAGCAACTAAACTCGTTAGATGGTGGTTTCATCTCTCCTACCAACGCAGGCTGCAGTCCCTGAGATTGTACCGTGATGAATATCAATGTCAGCGAGAAGACCTGATCATGCTTTACTTTATACTATATATATATATATATATATATATATATATATGGACAGGGCCATCAGAAACCATGAAATACAAATGCAGGTACAAAATTGTAAAATAAACACAACACAACACATTAAAGTCCATGGTTTAGTCAGAAGGCGAGATACTACGCGGTTGCTTAAGCCTAAATAGGGTGATGACTTAGTGGACACCACTCCGAGCCTTTGGCTGAATAGTCTGTCCGCAAGGCAGCGGAGCGAATTCAGGGAATCGCGCCCATTGGGAGCCGGTGACTGATTGCTCAGTTCATACGCATTTCGTCTGTGCCTTTGTCAAACAGGGGCCCAATGCTCCCCTGAATTACAGTACAAAGTTGCTGGAATACAATGCTTTGCCAGGATGAAGCAAGTGACAATGGCTTTATTTAGTGGCCAGTCACGTCCGCCACTTCACAGTGTTGTTAAACGGACATATATGGTTTAGGGAGAATGCTTGCCAGGCGAAAACCCACCACGTCCTGGAACACAGTCACCGAACCGTTTGCTGGAACGGGAAAATCCCGAACCACCCGGTTGGCACCACTAGGAGGTTGTTTGACAATTCACCTAGGTCACAATTTGTTGCACGTGAGCCAAAATGACAACCTGAGAGGCCATCAGCTCAAACTAGCTACGCACTACAGTCGACTTGATTGTCGATACAGGCGTTTTTTCCTCCTTGTGTCCCGTGTCTGGAATGCCCTTCCGACTCACTTTATCCTTGCCCATACATTAACGCTTTTCAAAAAAGACCTTAATGAAATGCTTTCAAACTTGCATTAATTGATGTAGTCCGTTCCACTTGGAGGACGAAATAACGCAAATCAAACCATGTGCTTAACGGCTCTCTCCGTAACGTGGCGGTGATGATACATGCAGAAGTGTCTATGTCATTAGCTTGGATGTAGCTAAACTGTATTAACATACAACATCTGTCAAACGAAGAAACAAACAAGTGAGCGTTGTCGTTTCCATTTTATTTCTCACGCACTTACTGTGCTATAACAGCTCTCTATACTATTTTGCGTGTGCACATCCCATTCCCACCTCAAACTATCGTTATGCAGTAGTGCATTTAACTCGATGGACGCTTGAAATAGTGATGTATTATTCGATGTGCTTCAAATTTTAATTTTAACTCCAACCATCCTAGGGGACTTGCCAAGTACATGCTTTTTTACCCGTGATAAAGCATTGCTCATTGTTCATTGATGCTTTGCTGTCATGCAGCGAGGAGGAAGGGAACGAACAATGATCACATGTGTAGGATGTGTATTTGGTGCTAAATCTAAGTACTCAGGAAAAGCTTTGTGGTCCAGGTTATCTACATTTGGTGAATAACGCACGATCACAAATAGGTGACTATCGTGCAAAGTTAAGACGGTAAAAAGAAAGCATGCCTGCAGCTTATACTGCCCAGCCGCATAATCATACCTACACCACAGATAACTCGTCCTCCAGCATAACTCGAATAAGAAGTCCGACTGTAGACGCAGCTGGCACTGGCTGCCATTCATCTGTTTTAAACCAATAAATCAAGCACAAGCCGAATTGCGCGAATTCCAAAAGAAAACCCAGTGCCGGCAGATAAGGCCAAATTTAGTCATCGACACCTTCATGTTTCGTTGTCAAATTAACTTTTCCTTACCTGGACCTCTGCGCCATTCAAAATTTGAAATACTACTGTAGGCCTTCCTGGTTAATCTGTGAACGGGTCTAACATGCTGCTTCTCAAGTAAACGCTGCCTGTTTAGCGTCTCAAATAACTAAACTGGCTTCCATCGCCTAAAGCTCGTATACATACATTATCAAGGCGGACAAGCTATTGTCATCTGACACTAGCAGAGCACCACAGGGAATGCTCAGGAAAGACTCCAATGCGCTTCTAATGCTGACCAGCGTGGCTAAGTCAGCCCTACGTAAAAGCATGGTGCTCACTGTATTCTCATATACTCAGCCATTCTGTGGCTTGACGAACGACCTTCTTGTGGTGCCAACTGGATGGTACAGATTATCCCGTTCCAGCAAATTGACCGGAAGTAGTGTTCTGTGACGTGGTGGGTTTTCCACCTGGCAATCGTTCTCTCTATAAAAACCATATTTATCCATTTAACAACAATAAAATGTAAATATATGCTTTACTACTAAATAAGTCACTGCTCCTTGCTCCTATCAGGATGGCATTGTTTTCAAGGATGTGTTGGACCCACGGTATTTTGGATGGTATAAATGCGTACGAACCCTTTGTTTGGTCACCGGCTGTCAAAGGGTTGTGACGCCTTCATATCGGCCTGCTACCTTACAGGTTATATCCCTGATCAAAAGCTCGGGGTAGGGGACCAGAAGCCAGTTATCTACTTCGGCCTGGGCGACTGGGTAGTGTCGAGCCCACCGACGAAGCAGGGAAGGACTCTTCTTCTATTACTTTCGCCCTTGCTACGTCTGCTGACTCTTCTGTCTCCAGTACACCCGTCCACACAAAGATCATCTCACATTCCGTATTTAAATAATACTTATGCTCTTCCCGGTCACCGCCAACAGCAGCTGACTGGTTGCGTTTTCTGTAAGTTAGAGTCAAACGCTTGGCGTTCGATGCCCGGGCTGCGGTGATTCACTTTCTATCACTCAATGAAACAAAATGAAAAACCTAACATTCAGTGGTGAATTGGAGAAAATTAGTTCCCTGCTATTATTGCTTCTTGTTCCGATGTAGTTTTTGTATTACATCATGATCCAGACGGCATTATATCTGTACTACAGATCGTGATATATATATATATATATATATATATATATATATAAGACATGCTTCCACTAATATCATAGGTATGACACAGTTCTAGATTTTGCACTGCGTGGAATAACCTTAGTGGACACGCGCTCATCGCCGTACTGAAGCTGCCAACCTAGGTAAATTGCTTGTCACTAAGCTTCAGCGGACCTGCGCATAGCTGTGTTGTGGTTACAGCACTTTCACTTTGAAGTTCACGCCATGACGGACTACTGAAAGGAGTTTATCTAGAGTTGACTGCACCTTCTCGCTATTGTCAACACAAGCAAACATTGTCCGTGTAAGCCAGGTCAAGCAATTTTTCTAGACGCTGTTTCAATGCACACATCGTAACGTAGCGGAATAGAATTCCGCATGATGGAATCCACAATAAGGTTTAACGAAACGGAGAAATCAGACAGCCCCGGTGAACCCTAATCGTTATCAGAATGTTGGCTGAAAACTTTTGGTATAACCTGAAGCGATGTTGTACTCGAGTACGCAGCACATGAAATACTCATGTAGTTTCACTGATCACCGTTTCCTCAGCAGAAATCTTTGTTTACCAGTGAGGAGGTTGATTACAATTGAGACAAGCAATTTCATCACCAATGTTTTCAGGATGTTATCTGCGATTAATATATATGTTGTGTCCGGTCACCGTTTATCGCTATTACGGTTGCTCCACCCCATCTTCAATTTTAGTGGAAAACTCAGAGTAAAAGATTCGTAAACCGTCGCAGAATTCCGCGTGGCGGCTGTTTTATTGCCACCGGAGAGTGGAACTTAGCCAGTCCTAGCTAAACAGAATGTAACAACTCCAAGATGCGAAGCAAGTGTCCAGGTTTGACCTTACTGTTTCGCGGTTTTAAGGATATTAGCGCCTTGTAGTAACGCTCCAATGACACAACTTTTGTGTGCGAACTACTAGTAGGGCAAAGGGGGTGCGATAAAAAACCAATGGGCACCAAGGAAACATTCAAGCATAACAAAATAACACCTTTCACCCGTCGTATGTAGGTAAGGTGACACAAATGGGACTGTCAACTTACTCTCCTCAACGCTTCACAATAAGCGGTTTGCAATACTTCCAATGGAACGGCGGCGTCCAATCTATTAACATGTGTCGATACTTTCGTGATCCCCAGGATGCTAGACAACTTTAGTTGCGGTTTCCACAAAGCATCTGCAATCTGCTTGAAGTCGCCTACTTCCAGTGCCGCATTCAAGCGAGCTATCGCTTTACCCTGCTGCAGCATTCTCTCAAACAAGCGGTTCGCCCGGTGCACCGCTTTGGTAATAGTCTCTAAGGGGAATTGCCGAGTGGGTGATGCAGCCCCATGCATGTAAGTGTAGCAGGCCAGCCAACGGCGCCAAGCAAATAAAAGAAACGAATGGTATACACCTGCCATCTCTGATTGGTAAAGGGAAACGTCCAATTTGTACTCGCGGACGATGGCAGAGAGTAGTTCATAGGTAATCAGTGGGGAATTTTCGTTAATATTTATCAATAGTCGATCGACGTTTGTTGTTCCGCGACCACGGCCAAAATCCGTCAAATGCAACTCCTTGGATGCGACTGTATGAGCGGCTGTAGCCATGGATTCCTCGGTAATTCGGATCGTGGGAGGAATCGGATGATATATCGCTTTCTGGAACGGATCCTTCAGTTGCCTCTCACTGAACTGATGAGCGCGATTACACGTAAATATAACTTTTTGAATTTCGGCGTGCGTAAGAATGGGTAGTCTTCCGGCAGAACGTTTCGATTCACGCAGTTCCTTCAAGGCGATGGAATAGGTTTCAGACATAGTACGGTTGTTGTACACACCCTCCCAATATGCCTCTGGGCTGATTAGTAATCTCAAAATATTTTCAGGAGCTTCCATTTCCAGAATCTCATTTACACGGAGTACGTAAGACAACACATCAAGCGCCGCAACTATCTCCTCATAAGTCAAGTAAGATCCCTTCTCCTTCATGGCTGTGTGGAGTTCCTCATGAAAGAACAACCTAATCGATTGTAAGTGTTCATCCGACTGATAGTGATGACGGTAAGAAAAACGACAAAAAGACAGATTGACCAGAGGCGTCAGGGCATCAAATGTGCGTTTCGGATTGTGCCTTTCTAGCGCTTTGTTGATATCCAACGCGCATCGATGCATTGACCTAACCTTTTCCTCTGATTCACTCGTATCCTCATCAAGAGTTACATAATTATCGCGTTGTAACCCATAGTAAGGTTGTAGGAACATATTTGGTGATGTCTGAGCAGCAGACTGGTTGAGTTCATTGCGGTCTTTTTGGCGTTCAGTTGTAGTAGATTTGCAAGTCATGTGTCCGAAATTACTTATCAGCATTGTATTTCAGTTCGCCTGTACGGTTACAAGTTTTATTTATCCGATAAAATGAATACCATGGGAGGCGCGTTACCAGTGCATCAAATCCATAGTTGAAGCGTCTAAAAATCATTACCGTTGAGTCAGTTTGGTTTGTTACTTATTGGTACAGCCACTAGTTTGCGAAAATTTTCAATTCTTCAAGCATTGATCAGTGTTAGCGCGTGATCAACTCACGTGAAGAGCAGGAGAGAATGTCCTTGAAAAAAGTTAGATCCCCTGGGAGCTTTTCGTTTAGTGATCTGTGACACGATCAGCATAATAATGGTCAATTTTATTCTCAATTCGAAGGCATTATTGAATCAGATAGTCTATGAAGAAGGGTAAATCCCAGAAGAGGAGATATATTTATTCTGGTTAAAATAATTGGTGGAGGACTAAGGATGGAGGCCAAAATAGTTTAGCCCCTTGGTTTACTAATTTAAAAAAATGAATATATGGATCCGTTAACATTTTGCTTCCAGTAAGACAGAGAATTTAAGTGAAAGTCTTCTGGCCTTTTCGTTCAAAGTTGAATGCATACCCCGAGTTGATTTGAAATATTTTTCTGGATCAACTTATCGTGTTGGTAGTTGCCAAATCCCTTCATTCAGATTAACTCTGTAACACAGCTCATGCAATGCATTGTAGCAAAACGACAAAGTTGGAGAATTAAGAGTTTATCATTTGATTAGGAACAAGGAATTAAACCAGAAGGTTACTTCCCTCCAGTGTTAACGCATAAATCCGTACCGAGGAATTGTGTAAATTGAGTCGCTGTTGAAAATTGGACACTTGCTTCTGTTTGCCGCATATATCAACAGGGTTTATTGCTTTCCTGGCTTACTTTACTGAACCTCATTCACTATTGATATAATGTCTGCTACCGGGCAACCAGTAAGCCCGGATGAAAACAACCAACTTCCATTCATCAGACGGTTACGACATATACAAAGGGTCGGCAAACTGTCGGGACTGTATTTGATTAACAATAAGCATAGAATATGACTGGTGTTCATCAAACACCTGAGATGGCAGTTTTTCACTGGGTGCACGAGCACAGCATATACATAGAGAACAGGATGGGTTTTGCTCAGGTCCAGACGCTCGAGCACTGTAGAGATTTCAGCCGACCTATTATTTTTTACTTCATGGGCATACGTGCAGCATTTGACTCAGTTAACTAAGCGGCTGTCTGAGGTTGTCTGCTAAAATCAGGAATGCTCGTGAAGCATGTTAACGTACTTTAAACCGTTTACTCTCGAAGCTCTGACCGGGTGCAGGTGTACCATGGACTTTCAGCCCCTTTTAATATCACCAGTGACGAGACCGGGTTGCCCAACCTCACCCTTCTACTTCAACTTCCCTTCTAAGGAATGCTCTGGGCAACTATTGGTCTGGTTGCGTTGAGTTGATCCCGTATGAGCGGTTCCGTGACTTGTAATATGCTGACGACATTGCCGTAACCTGTGACACTTCCCAGGCCATATTTCGCAGGTTACAGATGTCTGCGTCACAGACCGACATAACATTTCACCCTTCCAAGTGCTACTTTCCTCTAGTACTGGTTAGAAGCTGCTCCTACCCACACCCACTCCAGCTGTCTTTTGGAAGTAGTCAACAAGTTTGATTACCTCGAGAGTTGCATCCGCGTGAGCTTATTGACGAATGAGATCAATTTGCGCATAACCAAAGCTATAGTAGCTTTTGCCAACCTTCGGCATGTTTGGCACCGGCGTGATCTCAGCCTTTCTCGGAATGCTCGGGTCTACAACGCTACGGTACGAGCAGTGCTCCTGTATGGCTGCGAGATTTTGCCAATTCGAGCGAGTGTTGTCTAGTGACAATCTGTTTTAAACCACCGCAGCCTCCGGAACATCGCTGGAGTATGTTGGCAGCAACGCACTAGCAATGACGGCGCTCGACTTCTGATCTTCAAGGCAGACTGTCTTCACTGACCACTGAGCTGCATAATTCTCTTGCATGCGATCCGGTGTTTTGCGTATGTGCTCCGTATGTCTGTATAACCGTGGTCAAGCCGCGCTTTGTTTGCATGCACTTGCGTTGGTTAGAAGCGACGTAGAGGTAGCCAATATACAAACTGCGTCCAAGGTGTCAGGGCGCTAATACTGCATTTAGCCATATCGAAGCTTTCCAGACTACTAGGATTGGGGTCCAAGAACAGTGAGCATACCTGATTGGATATGCTAGCGGACATAGCCCGGAATCGTACCCAATCGCGAAGATGTTTGTGACTCTTTTCCCCCAACTGCTTTGTATCCCCTCATGTGTTGTAACACACTACCATGTGTTTAATGGTATATATATATAGCTTAAAAACCAGCGATAATGGTGACGCCGCTAGCGTAATTGGATCGCGTTAACTCCTGGCTACCAAGCTGTTGCAGCTCACAATATTCCGCATTTGTTCTTGCATTCGATTGAACAATTGGGTGTAGTGATCAACAATTATCCCTGGAGTCCAAGTACTCTACAACCCTTCCCCGCTTTGGAATGCAGTGTGGAAATTCGGTGTTCAAGACATAACAACTTTTGTTGGAAGTGTCCACCCGTTGGCTCGTCCGTGTAAGCTGAATAATACCGGCAAGTCACTGATTAGCGATTAACATGCTGATGTTGATGCCACATGTTCTGTTTCATATATTAGTCATAAGAATGAGTGTAGCTATATTTTCCGCTGTATATCGTTCATACTGAAGTTAGGATAAGTCAGTTATTATCGAGATAAGGTGCGGAAGAGCAAACGTTCCTTCTACAATTTAAATTAGAAATGACCAATCATCTAGACTGACTTAAAAGTAGATTAGTCCAACTGTGGTGGTACGGTAGTGTTTAAATAAATATTTAATTAGAAAATAAATCCAGCACAGAAACAATTGATTTGTTGCGAAGAATAGCTGCAACCGAGATGTATGATGACAGATTGTTAGTAAATTGTAAGCGGTAAAATTACGATGAGAAATCCAGGTCGCATGGGAATATCATACGTTCAGTTAACCACCTTATCTGCGCCATCTGCCGAGGCTCTTGATACCCATTATTTGTCTACCCTCATATGATTAACTATGCAATGCTCAATGTTTTCATTGCAAATCACACCATGGGTATGGAGATTTACTGGTTCATTGTTTTCTCAAGCCATGTCTAAGTGGTTCCATTCCAAACCCCGCTGTGAAGATACCATCGTGCCCAGGTGTCCCACGACATACTCATTTGAGATATTAGATAATTAGATGTTGTGCAAGGTACTTCTTGTAAATTTGCTAAAACAGTTTGCACACTCTTTCGAAAGCCGATGATAGAACAGGGAGCAGCGGAATTTACTACATGTGTTGGTGATGTGATAGCGTCAAGGGGGCCATCAGGAAATGTATGATATTATCGTCTATTAACGCTTATAGCAAGACAGCATGTACAATACACAGGAACCATAAGTCATCTGTGTTTTACGGTACATTTAGTTGTGCATCATTCTACCTGGTAACCATACTCACGGCATTTGCTTCCGTATTTCCATATCTGTCTCAATCTATTGTTGATACCCACACTTCTGACTAAACTTAAGGCTGCCGTTTAGGTTCACATCCAAACGCTAACTAACCACTGACAGTCGTATTGGTTACTTATAATTCTACGTGCGATTTTCTAAAACTAGAGGAATATGGCTGTTATTCTTCCATTCAATCCAAACTCATGCACGTAGGGTAGTGTTATGGTTCATGAGGGTTATTGTTTCTCCACCCAGTTTGTGGTAGTCCGTACACAAGTGTGAACAAATGCCCGTTTGCAGTACTGTAACTCGAACCAGGGACCTTTGGTATGTCAACTGATATCTCACGTTGAATGACTAAGTGGAAGCCATTTAAAAACACTTATAAGCACCACACTTCAGTCTGACAGACTGATGGCATTTTCACTCGCGTAACGCCATTAGCTGCTGGCTCGATGTCTAAATGTGAATTGCCTAAAGTATGAATCCCGCTAACATCTGTTCGTGCCTCGATACATTCCCACTTGACAGATGGATCCTATTACATTTCTTCTTGTGTGACATTGTGACTTATTGCGGACTGCAATATGAGGTCAATGTATCCCAGCTCAAGTGTCTCTATACCCCCCTTGTGCTGGTGCCGCCTTCAGGTAAACGCACTGAGATTCAGACAAGTCATCAAGGTTGATTCCGGAACAGCGGCAACACGTTGTGACATTCATATCGAAATGCTTGGGCATAGGTAGTATTCTAGACACTGATGAATTGGTCGAGATATGCTAGCCGTCAGAACGAATGACCAGGGGAAAATAAATAGTAACATATTACGGACTGCCTGGTGGTTATATATCCCTGTGGATTCTCTCTCACCTCGGACAACAGACGATTTTAACGGGCTCTGGTTTTACCTTACGACACGGATAGCCTGCAATGGACATAATCGCACAATTGCCCTGCTAACTTGGAAAATTGCTTACGCCATCTCCGTCAATTTTTTGGATGGCATCCTTATTCTATATGCCGCATGTAAGTCGCGCTTGGGTACAGTTGCGTTCTAGAATGATTAACTGCTGACTTGGTGCAATGTGGTATCTTTATTGCACCTGCCTAGAACGGATGAGCCACAGGTAACCTAACTATTTTAGGCTTAGTTAACTCGGTTGTATTTCACGATGACTTCACACGTTGCCCTTTAAGACACTGCACTCATCATGACCTATGCTATGCTATTCTTGCTACCTTCTCAAGCGGAGTCTAGTATGGTTACATACCGAGACAGTGAGCTACGGCATCTTCCTCTTCATAGTATTATTCGGCCGCGATACACATCACTATGTAAGCTCCATGGTATTACTCACCATAACCGTAGCTTGACCAGCTGCTCAATGCTAAGTAGCACGACGTTTAGAGAGCCGGTGCATGGCAGAATAATGATTCAGTCCATCCATGAGCTCATTGGTAATTGACGGGCGGGCGGTGTCTCCGAGCGATTTGTGTGCTTAATACCGATCAATGCTAGGATGGCAAATTATTGTGAATGTTTCCAGTTCGATGGATACGTTTGAATCAAAGGGTTATCATCGCTTGGCCGATTACAGTACGCATAAAGTGTCAAGTGTGACATTTGGAACACAATGCTCAACGATTGTCCCTCGTGTGACCACATTGGAT